ACATAGAGCCTATATTAATTTGCAATACAGGTGAAAATATTGATGCCAACATTTGGAATAATAGAAACTTCAACATTTAACCTTGTTCAAAGGTAGTTTACGACGCAGGAGGGTCCAAGATATTTGATAATCAATGACATTTATGGGCCAATGGCTCTATTTGCTTTTTCTCTTTGCATTTCTTGTGTTTGAACGGTGTGTCATTCTCTGGTCTTTGTTAGTGAATTTGACAGTTTCGTAAAGTCCTCTGAGAAAACTACTGTTGGGATTTAGGGCTATACAAAAAATACATTAAAATATCTGAAGCAATGTTTACTTAACAAAACACATCTCCCTCTCTTAAGATTGCCTGACAGTGCCTTTCTTCATCCTTCTTCAGAATGACTTCTCTCGCCTCGGACTTAACATGGTGAGGACAAAATACATAATCATTAAACGTGAGCATTGAGTTGAACTTGTAGAGGTTAACAGCTGTGTCCCTGAGTTTTCTGCTGAATGAATGAGCTGAGTTAAATGGATTCTAATGTATGCACGGCAGCCATCTTTAATTGTGAGACTTTAACATGGCTGTAGCCCTTGTATGCAAATGAGCTGGTTTTCATTTGACACTGTCAGCAACACAAAACACTTGTGCATTAAAACAAGGTCGCCAGGCAGATGGTTGGTACAGAGGGCAAGAGGGAAAGGACAAATAATATGCATTTATTAGTTTTAGTTCATAAACAGCTTTTTATTTCATGTTTACTTAAAGTGATTGTCTGGAGTTTGTCAGAAAGAGAGACAGAGAGGTACTTGATTTTTTTAAAAACTACGCAACCTCCCTCCCCCTTCCTTTCTGATTGGTCTACACCTACGTTTCCGTAACACTTTTAAATGTTAATCAGAGAACACATTATACATATACATTATTAATACACATACACGGAGGTTTTCAGAATTATTTGTTAAACGTTTTAATGAAAAAAATAATGTTTTTATGCACAAAAAAGCGATCGCGTACACCCGTTGTAAATCCGGAACAAGTGAAATATCATGTGCACATTATAGGACACATTTGAGGAGGATCTGATGGATTTAGGTTTTGTTATATAAAATGGGTAACTCACGCGGATGTTCAGAATTCTTTGTTCACATGGTAGGTCTATGAGTTTTTTTGAACAGCTTAGGCTAGTTAAAAAACATAAGTTATGTTCGACATATATAGATTTTTGTAATTTGAGAATGACAGTGCCCTTGCGAAAAGTATTCGGTCCCCATGAACCTGTTCCAACATTTTGCCACATTTCAGGCTTCAAACATAAAGATATAAAATTAAATTTTTTTAAAAAAATATAATTTTTTGTCATGAATCAACAACAAGTGGGACACAATCCGTGAAGTGGAACGAAATGTTATTGGATAATTTAAACTTTAAAAAAAAAAAAAAACTGATAAATATTATTCGGCCCCTTTACTTTCAGTGCAGCCAACTCACTCCAGAAGTCAGTGAGGGATGATCTTTGAATGACCAATTGTTCAAGTCTCCTAAATGAATCAAGTCCGTGGTTGGTGCACCTCCAAATGAGCCACGATGCACCTCACCTCCACAGTGTGTTTCTTTTCTACTTTTTGGTTCTGGGCTGTATAAAGTTCTGTTCTTCGCGCCATTTGTCAATTCTGCTTTGGGGCTTCCACTAGGTAATAGTACATAACACCAAAAGTGCCTTTGTTGGACCACGAGAGTGTGTTAAGAATCAGCTTGTTATGAGGACAAAGTGTATACAAGATTGTAATGGAAACAATCTGGCATGGTTGACATGTCATGTCATCTAGCAACACACTCTTGAGCATGGTAACTGGGTCAGATCATCAATAAATCATGGGATATAAAGTAGCGACAGATTCGGGGCAGAATATTATACCCTGCGCCTTTTGCGGTCGTGGCCCGTGATACTGAATGGCGGGCAGATTGGTTAATTGCTCGCCGAGGACAAATGTCAGCATACAGACGACTAAGGGGTTATTAAATGACAATTTTCCCTTGAGAGCCGACTCGGCCTGGAAAACCACATTTTGATGGCTCAAATGTTAATTTGATCAAAGGCAAGTCAGGAAGCCTTGAATTTGGCCATGTAACATGAACGGGTAGAAAATGGAAGGTTTTAATGAAGTGGTTAATTATCCCTTTCCATCATAATGGACACAAGAAAACATTACAAAAAAGGAATCAGTCACACTGTTGGGCAAAGGCAACAAGCTATGCTGCGTGGATAAGCAAATTTGGGCATAAGTCCTACCATAAGAACCACCCATCCTGAAAGATTTAAGTAACTGGGGGCAGCTTGAGTAGTGGTTGTATGGGACTTTTATCAACGTGTGGGACATGATAGTCAGGGTGCCCCTTTATGGACCAATGATCGTGAAATGTGTGTGGTGTGTGAGCATAGGATTATCTGGTGGTTGAACTTGGTGTGATAGGCCCGTTGTAAATGGGGCCTGGCCCTCGTCCGCGAGTTGAATTACCGGTGCGTTTAAGCGGCCATGTGTGCCCCTGGCGGCTTGCCGTGAGCGCCGATTGGGCGGCAATCGGTGCTCAAGCCCTCTTCGTGGAACAACCTGGGCCCCGCCCCACACAGGACACGCTTGGGTAACTGCCCCAGATGAGGGGGGTCACTGTGCGTGTGGGAGTGGGGGGAGGAGTGTGGTGGGACTTTGAATAATTGTTTGGGGCGCACAGTGACGTCGTCCGGTGTTGAAGGCGTCTCGCCTGCACTTTTCGTATTCGTCCGGTTTGTGTATATCCGTTCCATAAAGGCCCCCGGACCGTGGCCGAGGGGCGTAGGCGTTAGAGTTGTCGCCAGGGCCAAAAATAGCCGTATTTCCTACAGACGACTCCCCTTTCTGTTCGACTCGGCGCTCTCATGAGTGGGTGCGATTATGTGCAAATAAACTTCAGAACTCTGCCGCTCGGCTCTCCGCGAACGTCAGCCAAACTGTTCATTCTTTAAGTGCGTATTCAGGAATTTCTCCAGGCGCGCTGATGGGCTCTCTACTAAAGAGTGTGTGTGTGTGTGGCACGCGGGTTCCACGCGGGGCCGCTCCACAACACACGTGTGCAAACACGTTTCCCACTGAACTGCTGCACTTTGCATCAAGAGCAATGTGGACAATGTTTAGAGAGGTGTCTTTTCCCTAAACAACCGATCCGTTCTGACGTTAGCTGCAATTAACAGAGCGTAAACCGAAGAGAAACAGAAACTCAACTCAGACAACGGAGTTGTTCGCGGAAGTTAGTTTTAGCGCCAACCCGCTGGACCCGAGTGTTGGAACTACAGAGCACAGGTTGAATCGGGCAACGTTGGCGAAGACAACGTCATGATGGATCCGCGGGGCCGTGGTCACACCACCCCGGTGGCGACAGCCCGGACCATCTTGACCACTGTGCGGTGTGTAAAAACCTATTGACCATGAGCCCGGACGATTCGCGAGAGAGATTTCTACGTTTTGGTAAAGGTGCCCCCGAGATAACCTACGGGTTGGGATTCAGCTTCACTGTGTGAAAGGATGATCTTCTCTAGTGTTAGTGCCTTATAATTATGAGATTTTTGTGGTTTTTAAAGGGAGAAATGCGTTGGCTTTCAGTGGAGTAGCCCACTGTTCGTTACTGAAGGTATTTCCGCGTGCTGTGATCGTCTCATTGGCCAGCCTGCACAGCTCGTGGGATATAGGGAAAAGTCCCTGGGACGGCAGAAGATCGAGTGAATTCCGCTGTGGGGGTGACTAGGTCACGTTGCTTGGGCCAACAGCAACATGCGTCACCTCACAGAGCAGCGCTGGTTCAGCACTTGCCCTGGTCTGGGGCTCGGTGATGTCCAAAGGCTCGGAATATGTCTTCCCGTAATTACGCCTCGCGCTGATCCACTCTGCTGAACCGGCGAAATGGGCACTTAAGACAGTCAGCTGGGACCCACATATTCATCCAGGTTGTCATAGATGAGTGTGTTGCAAGACCTTCACGGTCCCAGATGTTAAATAAATGGAGATTAGATACTACACTGTGTTCAAAGTTTGTTTGAGATTTTTTTTCCTGAGGGTTTAGTGGGGGGGTTGTCGTCAGACGGTACTTTCTCTGCCTTCAAGTCCACGTCCCCCATGTGGGGAGAGGTAAGGGAATGACTAGTAAACGCTGGGTGGACGTAGGCAGAATATTCTTCTGTGTAGACAACTGGATGTCCGTTACTGATACGACCTTGTAACGTCTAGCATATAGACATACCAGAAATGTCTGAAATGCATAGGACTAAACATACTTTCCCCAGAATAAAACGTCTGGTAGTTAAGTTGTGTGTTTGATAAAACAACAACAGAAAACGTTGCGGTCCCACCCAATCACAATCCATTAACAACATGAGTCCAGGGCAAACCGCATGTGCACTAAAGAGACTTGTGTATATAAAACATGGAGGATCAACGTTGTGAATCAGTGGGAGACCGGCATTAGCCGCACAATGGGACACGAAACAGCGCATGTCAGCCCCATGCATTCAGTATGTGGGTCTAGCATTAGATTAGCTTAGCTGTGTGCACAGAGCGTGGCAAACTCTGTGTGGTTCGCAACAGCACAAATTACATTAGGCACCCACTAGTAGCTCAATAAATTAAATTCCCTTCAGATTAATCAGTAGCTAACGTGAAAAAAAAAAAAATCTGAAAACCCTAATCAATATATAATAGGTATGACGTGTATGTAAAGGTATTTAGAAGATTTTGGGAGCTTCAAGCCAATTGAGTCCCCCAATCTGTCAAGCATATCTCGGTTGATATGTGCGTGGCTACATAAGACCGGAGAGTATGGGCAAGTAGTCAAAATATCAGTTTTACTATTATGTTCTAAAGTAACGGGATAGTACATTGGCGCCGTCCCCTCACAGACAGAAAGGTTTGTGGTGTGTGAGGGAGAGGTTATCCGATAACCAACTTCTGTGGGGAGGGAGACTAAAGAGATCGGGACTGGCACGGGGATGGGCGTGCCTATTATTTGGGGTGGGTTGGGATATGGTGTGGTTGTGTGTCCTACGATAATAATTATTATCCATAAGGAATCAGACGCGAGCGTGCGCTCCAAACCGGCCCGACCCTCCACCCGGCGCAAAGTGTGTGCACTGATGCGCCATCTTCCTAAACAGTCCTGGATGGATCCCATCACGAGTGGATTTTGAATGCCCTATAATCAGTGGAGGAAGTGACTCCAGCCAGTGCAAAAGATGTCTTCAAGCAACTATTCATTCGTCATATGTTTGCCATTGTGAAAATGTGGAAATGAAAGAGCTTCCTTAGGACCCCTTGCATGTGTGGCTGGGTATCTATCATCAGATAAGCCTAGTCAAGTAGCGGCCGTCGCATCCGGTCGGCATGTAGGGGACAAATGCAACGGCGACTCGTTGGGGAAAGCAATAGCCCTAAGCCCTGATGGGCTACAACCTAAATAGATATATAGTACTTATAGCGCCGTAGTGGAACTCTCAAGAAACCACGTTGTCAAAACAAACAAAATTTAAAACATTGGGGAAGTACAAAATTAAGAAAAAGGCAAGGTGAAACAGGTGGGTTTGGAAGTTGATTAAACTTCTGTAGTGAGTGGTGTTTTCTGATGAGTGGTTGGGGAGGTGGAGTTCCATTATGAGGAGCACATACGGGCAAAGGCTCTGGGCTCCCAAGCGCGTGTTCAGTGCCTAAGGGGTAGGGAGGGCAAGTTGTGGTGGCTGGTGAGCTGATGCGTCGCGATGGGACAGTGAGTAACGGAGGAGTCAGTGAGATGATAAGCCAGCGTTATGGTGGACCTTTGGCAGTGGCCACAACTCAGGAAAAAACGGCAATTGTTCAGGAATTATAAACCGATACATCATATTGCTTATGTAGAATTCACGATAATCTAGTCCAGAGTGAAAATACTGGACCAATAAGCTGCTTTTGGCTAAAGTACATAATGGGTGCACCACACCGTTTACACTTGTCACACGCTGGTTCCAGTACCTTCTTGACATTGGAGACGGGGGCTGTGTGGCTGGTGGCATCTCGACGGTCCTCTGTTCACACACACACGACCACGCAGTGGTCCTTGCTGGCCACTGCCGCTCCAGGCTGGAATAACACAAATGACCATTGACGAATAGCCTGTTGAGGTCGGGTTTGATAAATCATACACGGTGGGTTATCGCTAGAAGGAAACAAACAACCCTGAGCCGACATGATATGGGGTGTCTGATAATTGCCACGGGTTGTGTCGTTCATCTGTTGGTGGTAGTGGTGATCATAGTAGCACCACAAAAACCAGATCTACGCTTCTGCCCATAGTTAGTGCAACTGTGGAACATAACAAGGTATTGACGCGAAGAGGTGGTATCACGTAAAAAAATGTGGGTGTGGAGGAAAATCTCTCAGCAGTAAACCGCTGTTCAATTCGGCCCATAACGAAATCCCCATATTCGCTGAGACTGTTTATGGATTATAAATATGTAAAGAGCTTTATGCGGCCCCGCCAGTGGGATAATTGTTTCAGTGGTTGCATGCACAAGGAAGTACAGAATCTAGGAATGAGAGTACACAACACAAGTGAATAGTAAGGTATATTAGAAGAGTGTGCCCTAATGTGTAAGGATAAATACCGCCCTCCACTTTGTCATCATAAACTCGCTGGTCTTTATTACATTGGGGGTGGAATGGAGGCTTATCAAAAATTCACGCGGGAGTTTCTAGGTAAGTTTTCTGGAATTCAGGGTAATTTGATAAGCCTTTTCAACAGACCACGTCATCGAAGTGGCATGTATAAGCCCTGATCAGTGGGTGCGAACGTCTCAGTGCTTATGTCCCATCAGAGGATTTGAACTGTGTTGCTAAATCGTGTAATGTACGTTGGCCTGTTGTATATCTTATCGCATAATGCTCACTGAGGTACAGGCATGTAACAACAGTATACAGGTAAGATTTCAGTATTAGACGGTATGAATAAGAGGAAGGTACCACTGAGAATATACTAAACGGTGAAAGAATGTGAAAAAGGTTTAAAGAAGCACTGGATATCTTGTTTAGTGGTGGGTTCAGAGCTGCCCCAAACGTTGAGTCCGTCGTTGTAATTAGGCATTATGGCCAGTAATGGCGCACATCGCTCAACTTCAAAATGAATTAGTGATTAAAGGTGAGTTATAGAAAAACCAGAACTGGATACGACAAGCTGGGACCTCCCAATCCCATGCAAAGACGACTGCTAATGGGGGTACTCGGGATGATATAAGTTTGTTGAGAGAAAACGCCCACGGACGCTACCCTGTCAGGAGGTTGGACGGATCGTGGTGTATGAATCAGGCCGCTGTGACCAAATGTCGGCCTCTACTGCTCTGATAGATCACGCACTGGGGCATCAGACATCCACAGTCCATATGCAATAGAGCAAAAATATTAATTAGTAAGGAGGTGAGCATGAATATATGGGGATTGAGACTTGGTGGGTGTTTTGGAGTAAAGGTTAAACTCTGAAAGGTGAATTGATGGAAGGTTGGGTGTCTATGGGACAGAACAAGTAGCATGTGTCATGCGACAAACAAAAACTACGACTAACGACTACGCAGTGGTTGACTCTTTATGTAAACGGGATAATGTTTGTGTTTGATCTGTCCGCTTAATACAGTTATATATAATGATGTTTAATGCTCAGCACACGCTCAGTTGTTAGTGATTGAGAGTCAAATAGCAGCACTAAGTACCAGTGTATAGCACTTCACGACACAGCCACGTGATGGGTATAATAGATTGGTAGTAATCGAATCAGTGTCGGGGGCCAGACTGAGCCAGGACGGATCCAGACTGAACTCGCTCGCTTCAACAACAACAACGGGGGGAGGAGGAGGAAAAGAGAGAATGTGCAGTCCTGGGTCAAGTTCCTGGCTCAGTCCTGGCCCAGAACTGATTCATTACTAAACATTATTTATACATCATGCTCTGCGAGTGCTTTACATGGTACTTGTGCTGCTATTTGACTTCATAACTTAAAACTGCCAGCTGTGCTGTGATAAAATCATTATATTTAAATGTTTAAGCGGAAGAAAACAAAATATATACCGTTTACAAAAGAGTAAACAATGCAGTCGTAGTAGTAGTTTTTGTTGTAGAAGGAAAAATGCTACTGTCCCATTACCACAAACACATTCCCATTCATTTCACACTTTCAAGTTTAACCTTAACAAAAACACCACAGTCTAAATCCCCATTTATTCATGCCTAACATCCATTCAATATATTTTTTGCTCCATTGAATATGGACTGTGGATGTATGATGCAAACAGTGCGTGTTCTTTCAGAGCAGAGGCGACATTTGTCACAGCGGCCCTGTTTATTACACAGATCCGTCAAACTCCTGAAGGCGAGCACCGTGGGCTTTTTCCCTCTCACAAAATTATACATCACAGTTCAGTAGAGTCGTCTTTGCATGGGCTTGGAGGTCAGCTTTAGTTCACAGTTCTGGTCTTTCCTTAACTCACCTTTTCACTCAATAATCATTCCTGAGCTTGAGATATGTGCCTCCATACTGCCATACTGCCATATTAAAGACATAACGTTGGGCAGCTATGAACCCACCACTAAACAAGATATACAGTGCTTCTTTAACTCTTTTCACATTCTTTCACGTTTGTACTTATCAGTGGTACTTCCTCTTATTCTAAGTCTAATAATGAAATATTCACTGTATACTGTCTGTTAACTGACTGTAACCAAGTGTGCATTTTAAGATATAAAACAGGCCAAAGTACATTACACAGATTTACAACAGTTCAAATCCCTCTGTTGACATAAGCATCGAGAGTTCAGACCCACTGACAGGATTTACATGCACTTCGTGACCCTGGTCTGTGAAAAGCTCTATATAATTAACACTGAATCCCAGAAATTACTAGAACTCCCAGAGCTGACATTTTTGACTGCTCCCATTCAAACCAATGTAATAAGACCAGAGAGTTTTGTTGAAAAAGTGGAGAGGGCGGTTTTTTTCCTAAAATTTGGGAAACTCCTCCTATATACCTTTAATATTCACTTGTGTTGTGTACTCCTCATTCCTAGTTCTGTAACTTGTGATGCAACACTGAAAAATTTCTCCACTGCGGGACGAATAAAGCTCTTAATATTAATCTTAAACAGTCTCAGCGAATGGGGATTTGTTCTGGGCACGAATTGACAGAGGTACAGCTGTAGATTTTCCTACACATCACATTTTTTACGTGATACCAACATCTCGCTAAATACCTTTTAAGTTCCACAGTTGCACTAACTATGCAGAAGAGTAGATATGGTTTTGTGGCTGCTACTCTGATACACACTACACAACAGTGAACGACACAACAGTGGCCATTTTCATCACACCAATAAATGTCGGCTCAGTTGTTTCTTCTTGCATCAACCACAGTGTTTGTTTTCAAACACTCCTACAGGATATTAGTAAATGGTCATTTGTGTTTTTCCAGCATGGAGAGCAGTGGCAGAAGGACCCCTGCGTGACGTGTGTGTGTGACAGAGGACAGTCGAGATGCCACAGCCACACCTGCCCCCGTCTCAATTGTCAGAAGGTATGGAACCAGAGTTTGAAAAGTAAAAGGTTGGTGCAACATTATGTATTTAGCAAAAGCAGCTTTTGGTCAGTATTTCACTCAGACTAGATTAGTGCATTATACATATGAAATGATGTATACGTTTTATAATTCTGAAATTGCAGTTTTTTAATGTGTTGTGGCCACTGCAAAGGTCCACCCATAACCAGCTCCTTCATATCTCACTGACCTCCTCCGTCATCACTGTCCCATCCGCCGCATCAGATCCACAGACTCCAACTGCCCTCACTCCCCTTAGGACTGAACACCGAGCCTTGGGAGACAGAGCCTTTGCCGTAGCTGCTCCCACTCTCTGGAACTCACTCCCAAAACCCATCAGAAACTCCCACTCACTACAGAAGTTTAAATCACTTCCCAAAACCCACCTGTTTCACCTTGCCTTTTCTTAATTTTGTTCTTCAATGTTTATTTTTGTTTGTTTTGTAAAGTGTCTTTGAGTGTCCAATAAGGCGCTATATGTATATATATATATTTAGGTCTGAGCCCCAACAGGGATTAGGGCCTATTGCTTTCCCAACGAGTCGCCGTGCATTTGTCCCCTAATTCCGACGGTGCGAGCCCAGACACTTGATAGGCTTACTCCTGCTGTATTACCCAGCAAAATGAAAGGGGTCCTATGGAAGCTCATTCATTTCAATTTAAAATGGAAAAATGAAGAATGAATAGTTGCTTGTAGACTCTTGCCCTCTTGCTTGAGACACCTAATCACTGATTATAGGCATTCAAAATACACAGTGTTGGTCCCATCAGGACTGTAGGAAGATGGCGCATCAGTGCCACCTCCTTTGCGCGGTGAGGGAGGGCCGTTTGACGCCGCTCGCGTCTTTACCTTATGTATTATTATTATTATCGTTGGAAAAACCAAACCAATACCAAACCAAATAATAGGCACGCCCCATCCCGTGCAAGTCCGATCTCTTTAGTCTCCCCTCCCCACAGAGTGGTATCGGATACACCTCTCCCTCAAAACCACAAACCTCTTCTGTCTGTGAGGGACAGCGAAAATGTATTCCGTTACTTTGGAAAAATAGTAACTGTATTCTGAATACTTGCAATACTCTCCGGTCTTATTTGACAAGCACATATCACCAGAATGATTGACAATTGGGAATCAATTGTCTTGATGATCCAAAAATCTTCCTATATACCTTTAATTCAAGTAATACCTATTATATATGATTGGTTTTCAGATTTTTTTTTTCACGTTAGCTAATGTCTAATATGAAGACATTTAATCTCTTGAGATACTAGTGGGTGCCTATTGTACTTTGTATGTGCGAACACACAGAGTTTGCACGCTCTGTGAAAAGCTAAGCTTATCTAATGCTAGACCACAATATGAATGCCATGGCTGACTTGAGCTGTTTCCGTGTCCCATGTGCTGATAATGCGGTCACTGATTCCAAGTCTGACTCCTCCATGTTTTTAAACCACAGTCTCTTTCGTGCACTTGCCGCCGTTTGCCTGGACATGTTGTTATTGGATTCGTGATGTGTGGACGCAACGTTTTCTTTGTTGTTTTTAAAAAAAACCTTAACTACAGACGTAATATGGGAAAGTATGTATTCCTATGAATTTCAGAAATTTATTGTATTCTATATTCTAGACGTTAAAGTCGTAACTGTAACGGAATACAGTTGCTCAAAAAGAATATTCTGAATACGTAACAGCGTTACTTGTATTCCATTACTCCCCAACACTGGGGACAGTGGCTGAAGCAGAAGTACACTCTCCGAACACACCCAAACATCAGAAAATATCTCACAAAACTTGAACACAGTGTAGTATATATTCTCCTTATTTAAATCTGGGACCGTGTTGGTCTTGCAACAAATATCTATGAAACTGGTGCATATGTGGTCCCAGCTTTCTGTATTAAGTCGCATTCGCGGTTCAGCAGAGTGGATCAGAGCGTGGCATTATTAAGGGAGAATATTCCGAGCCCTTTGGACATCACAGAGCCCACAGAACAGGAAGTGCTGACATGCCGCTGCTCTGTGAGGCTGACGCTGTTGCTGTTGGCCAAGAAAGTGAAAACGCTCACACAAGAGGATTTCACTGTTCTCTGTTCAAAGGGACTCGCACCGAGCTCGTGCAGGCTGACAATGAGGACTCACAGAAAGAGGAAATACCTAGTAAAGAACAGTGGGCCTATACCATGAAAGCCAAAGATTTCTCAACCTTAAAACAAAAAATCTAATAATTAAAGGCTCTAAAACTAGAGAAGATCTTCTCTTCAAAAACGTGAAGTCCTGAATCACAACAGTAGTTATCTCGGAGGACTTTACAAAACCGTTGAAATCGTCAGAGAATCTAAGGGCATGGTCACATAGGTTTTTACAAACGAACTGGTCCAAGTGGTCCGGATCGTCGCCACAGGGGTGTGAAAACGGCCCGCGGTCACATGAACGTGTATTCGCAAACGTGCCAGAGTAACTGTGCTGTAGTACAACACTCGGTCCAGCGGGTGGCGCTAATACTAACTTCAGCGACAACCTCGTTGTCTGAGTTGAGTTTCTGTTTCTCTTCCGGTTTACGCTCTGTTATTGCAGCTAACAGCTCAGTACGGATCGCGTTGTTTAGGGAAAGACACATCTCTCATACTTGTCCACATTGCTCTGATGCAAAGTGCAGCAGTTCAGTGGGTAACGTGTTTGCACACGTGTGTGTGCGCGCGCGCTGCGAACACGAGTGCACACACACACACACTCTTTAGTAACGAGCATAAGAGCGCTGAGAAATTCATGAATAAGAATTAAAGAATGAAAAGTTTGGCGTACGAGCTGAGCGACCAGAGTCTGAAGTCTTATTTGCAATAGCACCACACACTGAGAGCGAAGGTCAGAACAGAGGGAGTAGTCCTGTAGGAAACGCTTTTCTTTGGCCCTGGAGCAACACAACGCCCTACGCCCCTCGACCACGGTCCGGGGGCTTTTATGAAAGGTTTAACACAAGCGGAGAATACGAAAGTGCAGGAGAGACGCCCTTCACAACGGAAGACGTAATGTGACGCAAAATATCAAGTCCCCACCACACCTCATCCCCCACTCCCCACCACCCGCCACAGTGACCCCCCTCATCTGGGCTTTACAAAGCGTGTCCTGGCCCAAGTTTTCAAGTGGGCTTGAGCACGATTGCAGCAATCGCGCTCAAGCCCACATGCAGCGGTCACATGGCACCTTAAGCACGGATTAAATCGCGAAGTGGGCCCTGGCCCAATTAAACCGGGCTTTAACACAAGTTCAAACACAAGAAATACAATGATAAAAAAATATATAGATTCATTGGTCCATAAGGGGCACATGACTAATGTCCATAAACGTTGATAAAGTCCATAAACAATACCTAAACGCCTGCAGTTACTTAACTTTCAGAGGTTTCTATGGTGACTTATGCAAATTTGCTTTCCACTGCAGCATATACTGTTGGCATTTGCCAAAGTGTGACTGATTCTTTTTTGTAATGTTTTCTTGTGTCATATGATGAAAAAGGTTAATTAACACACTTCATAAAACCTTCCATTTCTCCCAGTTAATGTTACATGGCAAATTAAGGCATTCCAGACTTGCCTTTGAAAATTAATTTGAGCATTCAAAATGTGGTTTTCAAGCAGTACGGCACCTCACAGGGAATATTGTCATTTAATAACCAATTTGTCCGTATAATTTGTACTCGGCAGCCCTTAACAATCTGACGCCATTCAGCTCTAAGTGCAAGACGCAACAGGCAGCCAGAGCTATAATTATGCAGCTTTATGTAGACTTTTTATTCAATTTATTTGACTGAAACAGTACATGCTAATGAGTGTGCTTGATGACATGAATGTAAACATGCCAGATTGTTCCTTTCAATCTCTTATAACCTTTGTCACACAAACAAGCTTTTCTTACACACTCCTCGTGTCCAAAAAGAACTTGGTGTTATGTCTTTTCAATTGTGGACCCCAAAGCAGAGTTGAAACAGGCTGACGAAGAACAAAAATTTATTTACAGTCCAAAACAAAAGTAGAAAGAACAAACTGTAGGCAGGCTGAGGTGACAGAGGCGCTGGCTGGAGACTTGGAGGTGCAACAACCAAGGATCGTGTGTGACGGAATTATCTGGCACTGAAGAGCAGTCCAAACTGGGCTTAAGAAGCCAGGTGTAAATTGGCTGCAGGTGTGTCTGCTGCACCGTCCAGCCACACCCCCATCACCACAAGCTCTGCAGAAAAACAAAAAGGGAGGGGGGAAGAAACAGAGCAACACAACCCTCACAGTACCCCCCCCTCAACGGACGCCACCCGGCGGACCACCGGGCTTCGAAGGGAAGCGAACATAAAAGTCCCGGAGGAGGCCCCGGTCCAAAATGAGAGAGCGGGAAATCAGGAACGGTCCTCCGGGCCATACCCCTCCCAGTCAACCAAATACTGGAACCCACGACCGCGCCGCCGCACATCCAACAAGCGGCGGACAGTGAAGGCAGCATGACCATCGACGAGCCGGGCGGGCGGCGGGGGCTCGGCCGGAGGGCTAAGTGGACTAGACAGAAACGGCTTCAACAGAGAAACGTGAAAAGCAGGATGCACATTCACGGAAGGAGGCAGCTTGAGCCGGACAACCACCGGATTAATGACCTTGTCTATCTCGTACGGTCCAATAAACCTGGGGGACAACTTCCGAGAATCGGTTTGCAGGGGAAGGTCCCGAGTAGACAGCCAAACCTTCTGACCCGGTTTGTATTCAGGAGCAGGTGAACGTCGACGGTCAGCAAGTTGACGGTTACGTGCCGCAGTCCGCGAAAGGGCTGCACGAACCCCGTGCCAGACACGTCGGGCTCGCTGAAGATGTAGTTGGATGGAAGGTACTGCAACTCGAGTCTCCTGGCTCGGGAAATGAGGAGGTTGAAAGCCGTTAGCAGCCATAAACGGGGACATACCGGTTGCAGATGACACCAGGGTGTTGTGGGAGTACTCAATCC